CTACAGTCCAGAAGTGTTCAGGTTAAAGACCAGCCCAGTATGAGACCCATATTTACATTCCAGCTCTGTTAGGTGATCTCTGTACAGCCTTCTTCATGTTCTTGTTCTGTCTGTGTTCGTGCTTCATGTAAATTCAGACTAACTGATCTGTTTCCTCCTCAGTGACGGCTGAGTGCTCCAAGCAGCAGGAGAAGCTGTTCCAGAGGACCATCTCTGTGGTGGACACTCCTGGCCTCTTCGACACCACGATGTCTGAAGACGCCGTGAAGAGGGAGATCTCCAAATGCATCAACATGTCGGCCCCGGGGCCCCACGCCATCCTGCTGGTCATCAGGATGGGACCCTTCTCAGCAGAGGAACGAGACGCCGTGAAGAAGGTGGAGGAGATCTTTGGACAGGGTGCCTGGAGGTACACCATGATCCTCTTCACCCACGGAGACAAAGTCAAAGGAGACTTTGATGAGTTCATAAAGGAGGAGTCGGGACCTGAGCTGCAGGAGGTCCTGATGAAGGCTGGAAACAGATACCACGTCTTCAACAATCTCAGAGCCAACGACCGTCGCCAAGTCCTGGATCTGCTGGAGAAGGTGGACAAGATGGTGGCCGACAACGGAGGAGAGTCTTATTCCAACTACACCTACCTGGAGGTGGAGAAGATGCTGAAACAGAGAGAGTCAGAGCTCAGAGAGTTCTACGAGAAGAAGCTGACGGAGGAAGAAGACAAGGTGAAGTCAGAGTACGAGAAGAAGCTGACGGAGGCTCAGGAGGAGAAACAGCAGGTGGAGAAACGACTGCAGTGTGAGCTGGAGGAGGTGAGGAGGTACTATCGGGCTTTAGAGAGCGGAGTCCGTCAGGTCGTGGAGCAGGTGGCCAAAGATGCCTCCTTTGATAAAATCCTCACCAAGTTCCACGAGACCTTGAAGCTGAACTGAAGTGATGCTGACTCCCACTCACAGCACTCAACGCTCCACCTGGTTCAGAGGCTGAACACACTAAAGATTTTGGGCGGTGCTGTTCCAGAAGGTGAAGCCTGATAGTTTAACCTTCCTCTTTATGATGGAAGTGGGAAATAAACTCTTCTCTAATCAAGAAGTGGAAAGAGTGCCAGATTTCCACATACTCAGTCATCATGTTAACCAAATGTAACTGTAACCATGAGCACATCAGAATGAAATCTGGTGCATTTCCTCACCATCAGAGTATAATTAATAAATAAAGGGATGAGAAAAATCTCACATATGTTCACCTAGGAGTAGAAGAGAAATGTGTCTATATATAAGGGATAAAAAGAGAAACTGTACAGAATATTATAAACATAAGATTAGTAGCTCCAGAAAAATGCTGTATGAAACCGTTTCAGGTATGAAATTGCTTTGCCCTAAATATACATAAAATTACATATTAATGGTCATAAACTGACCCCACAGCCCGTTGTTCATTCAGTGGGTCAGGTATTACACAAATGTCCCGTTTGTAAGGTTGGAGACCTGCAGTGTTGAGATGAAATTATTTGAAGTGCTTCAATTCTATGCTTTATATTAACTAAAATACCACAGAACCATATAGTG